AATCTGAACTACAGTGCTATCGTTAAAGCAGTGGTGCGTTGCTTCAGCTTGATCTAGTTATTCTGCAATTTTATACTGCTTCAGTGATTGGTCTCTCATACAGACTGAAACAGATATTGCATAGACATGTACCAGGAGGCTCCAGTGTGATGATTCAAATTCTCACAGATACAAATGTCCTAATGTTTGTCTATGTGATGTCCCAATTCTAAACTTAACACAGTTTTAACTTAAATGCCACATGGCATCAGAGCAGTATGAGCGACGGCTAAAACTTAGGGAATAATTCAGTTAATAATGCCACAGAGTATTTGTTAGCAGCACCTACCTTGTATGACATTTTTGTGAAATTACAGCTGGTTGTAACAATAACTGTTGTAATTTCTAAAGGTTTGTCTTTGACTTACTTACTTATTAAGGAAAAATTTTTCATACTCCCCTGCCCCCCCCATCATTGTTTACTCAATTCTTTTCTTTTATAATGGCTACTTTCCCTTTCAATTGATGTACTGTGCTGCAGCCTATAATTTTCCTAATTTCTTTTCTTCTGTCTCATTCTGTGCCTGAACAATGAAAAAGAAACACTTGAGAAAGCATGTTTTGGCAAGGGAGGAGCCACAACAGCTTAAAGGAGATGTTTATTTCTTAGTTGTAATGTTTCTTACTAATTCATTGTCTCTAACAACCATCCTCTTACCGTCATAATCACAAAACTTGAGCTGGGAAGAGCATGGACTTTCAAGAAGGGCCCACTCTGTGCCCAGCACCGCCTATATGTTCTTATATGCTGCATCCTTTAATCTTCAAGAAGCCACTTGATTGTGTTTTTGTCCCCTGTGCAGATGAGGAAGTGAGATGCAGGGGTGAATTGACTGTTCTTACAGCACCAACGTTCAAATGCAGGTGTCTCTGACCAGGTCTCTGCTCTTTTTGTCTGGTGGTTATTACTGCCACCTCAAATGAGAGGGAGAAGAACCATGCGTCTCCAGGAAAGTGAATTTGCTTGAAATACTTGCATGAAAATATTTGCATGAAAGACATTTGCTTCTGGGGTGAGAGGTTATGATGCCTGGCTGTAAGGTCAGTTTCAGTTCTATGAGAGACTAAAACTATAACTGTATTCTCAGAGTGCCGATTTCTAGAAGGATCATCGTGATTTGAGGTGGCAGCTGTTAACTTACTTAAGACAATATGATTTAACCACTAGACAAACTTTTTACCACAAAGAATGTCATGGTTAGTTAAGCATACATTATTACACTGATATTAAAATAGTCTCGAATTATACCTCTGAAAGGGATCTGACTAGTTCAACAATATCAGTGCACTTAGTTTAGAATGTACTTATTTTGTCTTTTTTGACTGGAGTAGATAGTTGAAGGGGTAATAGGTGTAAGGTTAGAGAGAGAGATTGTGTGTGTAAATAATCAAGAAAATGTGACTTTGTGGTGCTTTGGGAATTTACCTTAGAACTTCAGTTTGCTTCCTAAATTGTGCTCGAGAGTATCACCTCTTAGTAATTCTGAACTATAGACTGCTAGCCGCCACCTTTCATTTGATTGCTTAACGAATTTATGCTTTCTCTAGGGGCAAGAGAAAGGAATTAGAGTAGACAAGGAGTGATACAATAGAGTAGACAAGGAGTGATACAAAGCAGGGCTAGAAGAAGAGAGTTTGGGATTAGTGAACTGAAAATCTTCCTCAGCATACAACTTTTTAAAATCAGCTGAATCTTTTCAATAACTTGTCATGTGGGACTGTAGAGGAAATAAGTTCAAGAAGTGAGAGTACATAGGAGTTACTGGAACATTGATGGCTATGTAAACAGCTTCTCAAATAGGGAAAGGTACTGGAAACTGGGGGAAAGGTTTATACTTGCTGCTGGAACTGGGTTGACATATAACTTGTCATATGTAGACACTCCAGATTATTTTAAGTTGTGAAACCAAGTTTGTGGTAATGGAATCAGCTAGCATGCATCTCTTTAAAAATGATGTATTACAGCTCCACCAGGTGGCTGCCAACAGTGTGGATGAGACAGGCTGACATTCTCCAGGAGAAGGGGAAGCTGTTCTTGATTTTACTTTATCATTTTGAGTACATCAGAATTCATTTTAGTGAAGGGCAAAGAAGGGAGACTATTGGCAGGTTTTTCTAGAAAGTTTGGTAAAAAAACAAAACTCCACGGGATCACTGTGACTGACTCACTTTTGACACATAAATACCATAACCTGTAGACTGTTTCCTGGTGGGTTAATTTTGCTGTGGGCACAAATTTTGGTTCCCTTTTTCTGTTATTTTTGTTGTTCCTGAAAGGGCAGAAGATACTTGTGATGGCTAAACACTTGAGTGAGCTAACTTAGACGCTAAGTACCTTAATGTGTAATACATTGCAGTATTGTAGGAAAGAATGCTGATGATCTACATTCTGTTTCAGGCTCTGCTCTTGGTAGGCAAGTGGTATCTTTTGACTGGCCCTCAATTTTCCCAACAATGAAATAAGGGAATTATTGTGACCTCCATAAACTCCTAGCCATATGCACAGTTGAGTGATTTTTCTTTTTAATTTGGAAAAGAGTAAACTGTTAAGCATTTGAAACAAAATAGAAAAGATGAAGAAGAAAAGCTTTATTTAGTGTAGCCAGTTTTAAAAGTTAAGTTCTACATTATAATGCTGGCTGGAAAGAACTAGTTTGAAGTCATGTTTACCATTTTCTCCCTAGTTGCACAGATGTGATAATAGGGGGTCAGACTGAAAGTATCTGGTTAGATATTTTAAAGTTAAAAGAAAAACCAAACCTGAGAAATAAATTGAGCCATCAAATTCTTTTAGGCAACACAAATTTTTTTTTTTAAAAAAACATCCAGCTGCAGTGCATTGGAAGGTGAAATTCATTTTCCTACTACTGCTCTGTTCTCACCTAGGTTTAGGAAAAAGGAAGAAATAGATTCTCGATTTCTTCTCAAGTGTGTATTAAGGAAATAAGTATTTAAATCATTGAACATGAAAGGATAAAATTGAAATTTTAAGAATGACGGTAACATGCACAGCTATTTCTCTTGTATTTTTAGCATGGATAAATAAAGTGAACCAATCGTAATGAATCTCAGTATCCTGAATTATATGGAGGATCAGTATATGGCATTTTAAGTTGATTTTATTTCTTCAGGTTAGTTGAAGACACTGATTTGAAAAAGCATAACCCAAATTTCATTTCAATTTTTAATCCAATAACCAGTTAGGAAATAGGAAGAACTGTAACAATGGTGGAAGTATCCTGCGCTTCCTGTACTTCATCCTTACCACATGGATTCATTATTTTTCTCTTTAAGCATCATTTGAGTACATCAAACTTCATTTTAGTGAATGAATTATAAAAATGATAGTTGTCTGTTTTCAAAAATCACCCATAATGGAGTCTGAATCTATTCAGTGACTCCTCATTCCCTTTAAAAGTCAGCGTTTGCCTTTCTGCTCTGCTCTTTGGTTTAGTTCTGTCTTCCACGTGTCCTCGTGTACATGACTCAGTTGTGTGTTGACTGTGCAGTATTCAGCTTTTCCAAGCAGCCACATACTGCTGTTTGGAAGGTTCCAATGCTTTTGAATGCTAATAGAGGCTTTGATGTAGTTGTGAGGTTTTTTTCCCCTCTGAGACATTTACGTGAAAATATTTGATTTTAATAACTTATCCATTCTTCTGATTATTTCCTACTCAGGATTTGTTGTAATGCTCCATGAGGGATATTGCAGCTAGTTTCTGTGGCACTTGATACTTATTAAGATATTATTACTTTAGCTAGAAATTAAGCAGAAAGAATTCATTTCTTAAAGAGACAAGGTAAATTCGGATTTTTAGGTGTGACACAGATCTTCTGTGAATTAAAAGGAACAATTCTGGTTTTGGTAAAGATTCTTTTACAGTTAGCTTTATAGTGTTAATGTCAAAGGTAAAGTCTTAAATTTACAGAAGTCTTCTTCTTAAATAACCATATGATAAAAGTTTATAAACAAAAAGAGTACAAGCGAACTTTTTATATGGTAAATTATCTTTTGTACTGAATTATTTCCCATCTTTTTGTTTAGTAATAAGTATGGCAGTACTCCAAATACATAATCTTATCTCAAGAATATAAAATTAACTTCTGACTTTCTGTGTCCAGCTAATTATGTTTAAGGAATATTTAGTACAGATTTGTGGCTATTTTGCTGTATATTATAGTAACTGGTTGATGGCCGGTGATTTTACTTCTGTAAGCTCATTTTCCATATTTATAAAATGGAGGTTGAGGGCATGACATGAAAGATGAGTGAGTGGGTTAGAAAAATTTCTAATGTTTCTAATTAATTGTATGACATGGAAGCTTCTAGTTCATCATTCAAGTAATACTTGTGTTGCATGTCGGTTTTGGAAATCTAAATCATATAATTAGCTTAGTTATTCTGTATTTAAAATTTACCAGAAGTGCCTTTCTCTACGAAATGGAATTGGGGTTATTCATCAGTATCCTTTCTTTTGTTTCATGAATTGAATTAATAATGTAAGCTTTCCCCCCAAAGCATATGTGTGGCTCCTCTATTCCATTAATGGTTTAGCCTTAGTGCTCTCTTCCTGTTAGCTTGCAGTGAATACAAAATGTTAAAGATTCTTCAACTTTTTATAATCTTTCACATGAAGTATGTAAGATTTACAAGAAATGAAATGGTCATTTTCTCTTTTACTTGCCCTTTTCTGGGTATTTGATTAGGTGACAATTTTATTCTTTACTATTACCTAGTTCAGCCACAAATATTTTTTATGTTCTGAAAGAAGCCAGTTATTTAAACTATGTCACCATTACTTTCATAATCAAGGGCTCAAAGAACAAACTTAGTAAACGTGAGGCTCTTTGAAATCCTTGCATAAGGAGAAGCTCTCAAAGTACCCTATTGATATATCCTGGAAAAATTGACCAGTGTATATTGGATTTGCTTTTTTGGTAATGCTGTGTCATTTATTTAGATATCCTTGGAACAGAAGATCTTATTGTGGAAGCAACTGCCAGTGATGCCGTGAGATATTATCCCTGGACCATTGATAATAAATACTACTCGGCAGATATCAATCTATGTGTGGTACCAAACAAATACCTCGTCACTGCAGAGATTGCAGAATCCGTCCAAGCATTTGTGGTTTATTTTGACAGCACACAAGTAAGGTTTATTTTTCATGGAGACTTAAGTAAGAAGTTATCTTGTGTACCTCCCTGCCCCTACCCCCAGTGTTTTCTCTAATGTCTCTTTCTAACTTTTCTTTTTTATTTCCTCCCCTCTAGAAATCTGGCCTTGATAGTGTCTCCTCTTGGCTTCCACTAGCAGAAGCATGGTTACCTGAGGTGATGATCTTGGTCTGTGACCGAGTGTCTGAAAGTGGTAAGGCATCCCAATGCGGCAGTAGTTGGTAAATACATTTGCAATCCTTGGTGAAAGGTTTGTTTCCTTACCTTAGAAGGATCCCTCTCATGTGACTTTGTTACCTTACAAGTTATGTGCAGCTCTTGAATTATTTGCTTTCATTTTTTTGTCTTTGTTTTTAAGAATGGACACTTAAATGTGAGAAATCATTCTTTTTATCCTACTTTATAAGTTGGGTGCATTTAGAATAATGCTGACATTAAGGGTAACACTGAGATTTGTGAGAAGTATTATAGCAATATTCATTTTATTTTTACTTTTAAAGTTTCTTTTGCAATTTATTTTAGGTGTTAACCGACAAAAAGCTCAAGAATGGTGTATCAAACATGGCTTTGAATTAGTAGAACTTAGCCCAGAAGAGTTGCCTGAGGAGGATGGTAAGTATTTATGTGTCAGGAGGAAACATGGTGCTTGGATTCAGATGTGAAAGATTATATTATTCAAGAAGAAGAATCAAAGCATTTTCCTCCCAGTTTGAAAAGATCTGTGCAAAATCTATTGATGTAGTTTATTTTATTAAATAATCCATGTACTTGGTTTCACCAGTATTTTAGAACTTTTAGAATGATGTTTTTCTTTTGGATAAAGGTAGATTTCTACCTTAAACCTTAGTTATTAACCCCACACTTTGATTATTACTCCAAAGGAGGAGGGTTTGACTTAATATGAATAAATTGTGGGGTTTTTTTCCCCTAGTAACTTAGGATCAGGAACCCTAGCTTGTGTGTCAGCCCTGTCTTTTGGACATTTTAAACCAAAAATCAACCCAAAATGCCCTCCTCAATGCTAACTCTCATTGAGTTGCATTCTGCTACATTATGTACCTTCTGTTTTTCCCCTTTCCCGTTGTCTTCTCGTTTTTGTCCTTCTGAATTTACCTTGGCTACTTGAGGAGGGATCAACCAAGATAAGATTGTATTTGACTTACCAAAGACTTACAGTCTGGTACAAGATAAAAACAATCTACAAATAATTTGAAATACCAAGCTGAATGTCACAGTGTTATAAAAAGGCACTGTGGTACTCAGAGATGGGAGAGATTATTTCTCTTCAAAAGTTCTCAGAATGCATTAGTACCATGGGGTCAGCAGTACCATGGGGAAGAAATGGAAAAGGTATTGGACTTGTAGCTAGAAGATTGGGTGGGAGGTGGCATTGAGAAGATGCCAGTTATTCTAAAAGATGAACTAAGTGGCAATAGTGAACTTGAATTAAAGTAGATAGATAGGATATAAGTTGTCATTACTGCAAATCTCTACAATTTTAGGGATTAAGAAATACAGTTTGATTTTCTGCATGGTTTGAATTTTTCTAAAATGTTATTACATCTGGGAATAAAACCCTGCCAGAGAAGAAGACATAAATGAATTACAAAGGCTGTTTCTTCCTCTACATTTTTAAGAATATTGAAAATAGCAACTGGTTTCTCTTGCCATGTTTTTCTAGGTTTCCTAAAGCTTGTACCCTGCTTTGTGTATGTAATCATCTCATGTGATTGGCTGCTTTCTGGCACTAGAATTTTCTTTTCCTGTTGCCCTTAAGAGTCAACAATAAAGTCATTTGTTCAGGTCTATTTCATTTTGGATTCTTTGTTTCCTTGTATCAATATACTTCTCCTTGCTCTTTGTCTACAGTGTTCTAGTATTAACTCAGCTTTGTCTTCAAGTAGGTTTTTGATATTTTTAGGAAAAGTAAATAAAGCCTTCCTAGAATTACTTTATACAGTTAGTTTCCAAATGATATATCTGCATACTTGATTTCCATGTATTATTCAAATATCAATCAGTATGACACTTTATACTTGTTTTTATTTTCATCTTACTGGTTCTACATTTTTATTTCAGACCATATTTTGTTTCCTGTTTATATCATCCGATCTATTATTCTTCCAAGAATTGGGTCATTTACAGTTGAGATAAACATTTCTTCATTTAAACATTGATGGTTATAAACTCATCTTATGGGTATTTCAGTTAATCCTCATCATATTTATGTTAGGTTGGTATTTAAATGATTCATCAATCCTGGAGTGCCTGCTGTGTTTTAGGCACCATGTTAGGTAGTGGGAACACTGAGCTCAGTAGGACTTGATTCCTGCCTCAAAGAGTTTGTAGTCTAGATAGGAAGTTTATACCAGGAAATCATCAGTTCGTGTATCTTTCTGCCAAGAGTGGGGTTTTACAGAGTAGTGTTATCCCACATCCCAAGGCCATAATTATTTGTCCTTGATCAAATAGCAAATAAGTTCCAGAGGCTGGGTTCAAATTCAGATCTTCTGACTTCTAATTCTGTGCTCTTACTATTAAACTGTTCAGGGTCAGAAAAGCCACTAGAAGTAGTTTCTATGTGGAATGTCCACTGTGAACTTTTTGGAGACTTTTCTCTTTAATCACATGAAAGTTGTTTCTGCCATTTTCCGTGTCCAGTTTTAACAGTACTTACTGTCTTAGGATACCCATTTCCTTTGAGCACACTCATACCTACAGTGCAACTGAGAATACCAACTGACTATATTGATCTGCTACCTGGGGCTCTGCCCTGTTACTTTGAGTAGTACCAGTTAAATTTCAGAAGCAGGCTAGTACTGATGCTGAACTAATACATTTTTTGTTGTTTTTAATGATCCCTGTTACAATAATTTATTTCTCATTCTTAAACTTTGTTTCTTTGATCAAAAAGTGGTTCTGTAGGTATCTACCATAAAGAATCATTATTCCTATGGCTTTTGAAAGAAAGTAGGGCATTTATAAGATTTTATAGCATATACTAAAAGGACCATTTTTGCCTTCAGGAAACTCATTCATTGTAAGTTAACAAGATTGTTATCTCTGTTCCTATTCCAGGGTTATGTAATAGACACTAACATTTTCAGGAATACATGAGTGGATTCCACTGGTAAGGCAATAGGGACAGGTTTATTTATAAACCTCTTAAATTATGTGTTTATTTTCTTAGTTCCTAGAATATTCTTATCAGGACCTTTAATTTTTTTTCTTATATAAGTTACATTAGTAATAATGTGAAATAACAAGTAAGCAAGGTAATTAAGTCATAGTTGTTTATAAATATGACTTGGGATATATATATGTATATGTATACATAAAAATAAGTATATGTAAGTGTGTGTAAATACATGCTTCCTGTCTCTGATTAGATGACTTCCCAGAATCTACAGGAGTAAAGCGAATTGTGCAAGCCTTGAATGCCAATGTCTGGTCCAATGTCGTGATGAAGAATGGTAAGTAACTTGGGATTAAAAGCCATTTATTTTTTTCTTGTTCTATGTGAGTTTTAAATTAGATATATGTGAAACCTTTAGGATTTTATGAAATTTGCAGATTTTTTTTTTAATTTTAAGCCTTAAGTTGAAGAGCCAAAAGGAACATTTCTAAGAATTTTTAGTATATGTATAATAGTTAATTCAGTAAAAGAGCTTCCTGGTACTATTTCTATTATTGTTCTTAGCATTGAGAAATAACCTCCAGATTTGATTTCAGCTGTGGAATTAGAACATTTACTTTTGAAAGGCCAGGTACGGGCTAGGCAGTATGAAGTGAGTATAGAGTAACTGATACCAGGACTGCATAGAGGTCAGAGATAGAGCTAAGAGGGGGAAGGGAGAGTAGGCAGTAGTCTTCATGGGTCAGGATTTAGATTGGTGAAGGAGAAGGGTGACAATTGGGAAGAGGCATGGCATCAAGAATAATGAGGGTATTTTTAAGATGTTGCACAGCAATTGGAGATAGCTTAGAAAAGAGAGGTCTAAATGCCAGGCAGGTGAACCTGGGCTTTTTCCTATGGGAATTGGTGTGCTACTAGAATTTTTTGTTTGTTTGTTTTTGTTTTAAAGAAGAGCAATGCAAATGGCGCCTCTTAAAGGTTGATGTCATGCTGGTGTGTAGGTGGATTAGGAAGGTGACGAAGAATCTGAAGTGAGGAAGACCAGACAGCTGTTGCAGATTAAGAATAAGGTGTTGGGGCCTGGACTAATGTGGCAGTAGTTATGGGGTGAAGGATTGGTTCTGAAATACTTTTTGTTTAAAGAGCATAGGCTAGTTGGTGCACATTAGCCTCTTTTTCTGCATTAGTTTTCTAAGGCTGCAGTAACAATATACCACATACTGGATGGCTTAGAACAACAGTAGTTTAATGTTTCATAGTTGCAAATGCCGGAAGTCTGAAATCAAGATGTCAGCAGAGTCACCCTTCCTTGGAAGGTGCTAGTGAAGGCTATCTTCTACTCTCCCGCTTTGGGTAGTTTCTTGACTTATGCAGCATAACTCCAGTCTCCCTATGACATTCTCCCTGAGTATCTGTCTGTGTCCAAATTTTTTACATTTGTAAGGACAATAATCATATTCAGGTAAGGTCCACTTTACTCAGTCAAGTATTACCCCATTGTAATCACTTAACATCAGCAAAGACCCTGTTTTCAAGTATAGTCGGAAGCTTTGGGGACCAGTAGTTCAATAAAGTCCGCCCCATAGCCCCTAGGAATTCTCCTGTGTAGTGTTTTCTCTCATGTAGTACTTAGCTTAAAGTAGACTGTCTTAAAGTGTGCTATACTAAGGTGCAAAACTGCAGATGGGAATGAAAAAAGTCATATATGCAATGAGCTTACTTCATCTTTCTTTCCTAAAATAAAGGTTAAGGAGATTAAGTTTTATTGAAATGGATTATTTCATTGTAATTGTTGATTGAAAATTGTGTTAAAGTGAAATCTGTGTTAAAGTGAGCTTGGGACCCTTCAGCTTGCATGAGCTCTGTTGTAACTCCTGTCAGCTCTGGAGAAGCTGTGTCTGGCATCATCAGGTGTTCTTTCCTCCCCTTCCTTTCTCCTCTCATTTCCCTGCTTCCCGCTTTATTCTTCCTAGGGGAAGTCTAATGGGTTGCATTACATTGCAAAGATACTGGATTTTATTCTTTTGTTGTAGTAATCAAAATAAGACCCTGATAGATCTAGAAGCAATAAGGAGCTTTTATGCTATGTCGTAATCTTCCTGTTACCAAAACAAACTCAAATTGACGTTTGGTCTTCATTCAGTGAACCCTTGTTGAGTAGTTATAATAAAGCATTGTTGTAGACTGTCATGATAAAAAAAATGGCCAAGGTATAGTAAATAAACTGAATCAGTTTGGATTAATACTCTAGTCAGTGGCATTTGTTTTATTTATGAGAAGTATTTTTAGAAGAGCTTAATTGACTTCAATCACTTTTTGAAAAACCTGTCTCCTAAACTATACAATAGAGAAATCTTGCCTTATAATTTACATTTGTAACTGTAAATTCAGTCCAGCTTCTACAGGCTCTTTGCTTTCTTTTTTCTACACATTGGTAGATTAGTTTTCCATTAACCAAAACCCAAAATGGTACCATCACCTTAACTGTGATTAAGAGGATTGTGGCCTCTGTGGTGGGAAGGAAACTTGATTGTTTTCTCTCTAGGAGGAGTCCTAGCTTTGAAAACACTAACATTTGCCTCACATCTTAGAGACTAAACTATGACTATATGGTGGTTCATATTACTTTCCAGGGTCACCTACCTCCTGTGCTTTCTTGCAGAGTTTTGCTTTGCTGGTGATCTGGCTGAGGGTCCAGGGAAATATACCTTCCTCTCAGTAGGCTTTTCTGGAATGTTGTCTGCCAAGCAGGTGCTCCAACAGGTTTTCATGGTTCTTGGGGGGAAGAGGAAGGCTCTGTTTCCATACTTTTTCTTGTTAATTTCCCCCCACCCCGCTTCCCCATTTTTCTCTCTTACACTCTTTGTTTCCTCTTAATGGTGTCAGTTTTGGAGTTTAGGTTCCTTGGGTTAATTCTGGGAAAGGTTTCACCAGAGCTCCCCTTTCAGTGACACATGGCAAGTTCCCAGGCAAGTTTCTCCATAAGACAGAGACTCAGTTATATTTAAAAAGCAGGTTTATTAGGGCAAAGGATACAGAAGAACAGGACACTTGTATAGGCACAAGCAGGCAGGAAGAGCTGTCCGAAAGGGACAGATTTACTGAGAGAGGCCTGAATGGTGGCATGCCAGTGGCCTTAGGAGAGCTGCCTCCGCTGAGGGAGGTCAGTGCAGAGAAGCCCTGGCATGGTACAGGTCATGGGCAGGTAGGAGGCTGCTGCCCTGTGGAGGGACAGAGTGGGCAGAAAGAAGCACCTGCTTAGGCACAGGTGAGCAAAGCTGCTGCCCTGAGCCAGTGCAGAGACGGCACTGATACAGTTCTTTTCTCTTTGGTAGGGGCTCACTTCTTTGTGGAGTGGCCTGTTTGCTGCTGATTTTGGATAACTATGTGGAATCCTAAAGGGACCAGAGATTTTTCATTGGGCCCAAGGTCTGTACTTCCAACATTCCCTACCACAGTCTGATACCAGAGTCTGATACCTGTTTCGGCTATATGCCTTATGTGATAAGGCAGTAAGGGTTTGATTTCTACAGTTGAGTTAATGGTCATGTTAGTTCCTTCTGTTCTCATCTCCTTGCATGAGTCAGGTTTTAACCTTGTGATGCCTCTTTTAGGCATCATTAGGACTTTCAAAAGTTGTGCTTAAATGTACATAATGTAGGTGCTTGGTGGTGCACCGCATAAAGCACTGCATTATGAAGCACTCCGTAGCCACTGTAGCAGTTTGATCCCCGGCCCTGGAGGTGATCCACATGGCATGGCAGAACTCTTCTGACCCACCAGCTGCTCCCCTCAGCAGTGTGCTTCATCCATCTGCCTTTTCTGCTCCCCACTCTGTCTCTGGTGAATCCTCTCACTCCCCCATCCCCAAACCTCTGGCCTGTACCCCAGTTCTATAAACATAATTTTTTTAAAAAAGTACATAACATAAAATAACATAAAATTTATCATAACATAAAATTTATCTTTTTGAACTATTTTTGTGAGATTCAGTTCAGAAGTAAATTAAGTAAATTCACATTTTAAAATTTTTCAATTTTTTTTTAATCAAGAAGCTGGTTGATAAAGATATTAGAACAATATTGGATACTTTTCAGCACTCCAATTGTTAGGGGTTTTTTGTTAGAAAAATTACTGTAACCACAGTCGATTCTTTAAGATAATATACTAATTTATCAAGCAGTTGTAAAGCATTGAAGTTATACCATGCCACTCTAATTTTGTACATTTTGAGAAACTACTATTTGAAACTTTTAAAGATGCATGTGAAATGTGCTCAATTTGAAAAAACAATTCCAAAACTAATGACTATAGAAATTTAGTTTTGTGGCAAATATCCCTAAGAATATATAGATCTGATTGGGATTTTATTTCTTTGCAATTTGTTGGCCACTTTATGTCCAAAGTCAAGCACTTAGTCTAAATAATCAGTCGAAAACCTAGAATTAAATAATTTCTTTCTTGCTTTCCATCAAGATAAATGAATGTGTTTCCTAAGTGGGAATTTGATTTAAATGAGCGGCCAGTCCATTTCTCCGTTTATTACAAATATGAATCATTTGTCTTTTTATAGGATCCCTAACTTTTTACCTCTAATTTTTTCAAAATTTAATATACAGCCAACCAAAGTAAAGATAGACTACTGGATTTCATCCAAATGAAAAATGTTTATATTCAAATGACACTCTCAGGAAGATAAAGAAAGAGATAACCCTCAAAATGGAAGAAAGTATTTGTAAACTATGTATCGGAGAAGGATCTAGTATCTAGAAAGTATAAGAACTCCTACAACTCAATAATACAAAGACAGCCCAATTCTAAAATGGCAAAGGGATTGAATAGACTTTTTGAAAGAAGCTACAGAAGTGTCCAGTAAGCACATCAAAAGATACTCATCAGGGAAGTGAAGGTTGCAACCACAAGGGGACACATAGGGTCATCTTTATGCACATTGAACTAAGAATTCAGATGGGGTGGTATTTGAGAAAATCCCATTGTAGTTCAAATTATGACAGTCATCAGGGTCTGTTAGGTGGTAGCAAAGTGTCACAGATTTGTCTTCAAATAGATATTGTGTGTGTGAAAATATAAATATGCTCTTATATTCAGAGGTTTTAGGAGTAACTTAGTGATTTTAACTGAGACCCACAGGGGATGGGGGCATGCATATCAAATGCTTCATACTTCTTGTAAGATAAGTTGCCTGGTTCCCATTGACTATCACATTTTTAGTATACCAGATTTTACTAATGGGGGGAGGGAGTAGGATATTGTATCTCGCAACTGCATAAAAAACTGTTAGGAATTTTTTGTGCTGATCTGTTCTGTCCAGTACAT